CGGGCCGGGCCTGGTGGGGGGAGGCCCGGCCACCAGGCGCTCGCATTCGAGCCCCAACCCCGGGCCTGGCTCCAGGGTTGGAGCCCATAGCTCCTGGGATCACTCGGGTACTCAAACCCCTCCACCACAATAAGGTGGCGGTTCAAGGAGGGGACATAGGTTCATAATGGATGGATTTTATAGCCAAATATTTTGCTGTCATAGTAGAAAAACTGCACGTTTTACTAATAGCCTTAACAATTACTTCATTGTTTTCAAGTGTCCCAGTATGTACAATACCAGGACTGAAAACTGAAGCCAAATGGAATTCAGCCATCATTAACTTTATTATTTACTATGCTTTTGATACTGTGAAATGTTAAAATGTCTTCTTGAAAATGGCTTCTTGATATGAAACTTTTTTGCTTTATTGGAATTAAATAAGACACCGAATTTTTCACATGCCAGTTTACCTCACATTTTACCCATTGATGGGCCACACAAAAATGATGCATTGAACTTTGCATGCATGGATTACAGTACCATAGGCCTTGTCTTTTACTTTCCAGGCTCATCCAGATCAGATGAACATGTGGCTTGTCATCATTGTGTTCATGCAGCACATACACCTTACTGTCCATCTGTCAGTAGCTTTAAAAACTTTAATTAAAAGCCTAGCTATACACACATTCTGATAAATACACATTACCTTGCAATACCTCTTACAGTGAGTAATAACAATATGTCTTACAATAGGCAGTAACACTTAATTTATTATTTTTAACTCAAAATCAGTTAGCCTCATGACAGAAGTTTAGAAGTTCACCTGCATGTGCAAACATACTCCAGTACAAATAAGAACAGTTATGAGTACATTAGTAGAATAATCAAAATTACTACTAATGTGCAAAAAGTTCCAGTTATAGCTGCTAATGTTGCAAAACTACCCATTTCAGATTGTTATGTATTATATTTTCGAGCTATAATGGATGCATTAAGCAGAATGAGATGTTACTATTAGAGCTATTTCTAATTAATCTATATTTTGTGGGGTGTTTTTACTTATACTTGTTTTTATAAAAAATTAAGTTTTGTATGTGTGTTTATTCGCACAACTTGTAGGTAATCATAGAGTACAATCAAATTTTACGACAGTATGCTGCGACTATAAGTAAAGTCGCTTTACGGCAGGCATGTGTGTAGCTTATGTTAGGGGCTTGTTGTTAACCGAATAGCTAATTGCTTTATGTGCAGGCTTTACCCCCTAAATCTGAACAAAACAGTGTTACTGTTGAGGATTTTAGCCCAGACAAATGGATGTTGGAGAGCTCCTGAGTTATCAGGTAGACATTTTATTCTGTTCGTTAATGTTAGGGAACTCTACCTTAGCTAACATAAACTTATCTCATTCACTGGATTGCATGCAATAGCATTGCTAGCAGCTTCTTGGGCACGTTAGCAAGCAGCCCTTAACTTAACGTTAGTCGTTGCTTGTCCATCAGTAAACTGCATTAGATTACAGTTTTGTAGCACCTGCGTGATTAAGGAATAGCTTATAATAAATAGCGAATCCTCTAGTCACTGTTTATTAATGAACAACGTTAGCAGTTAGCGTGTTAGCTAAACAAGTTCGGTAGGTAAGGTTGTTGCTATGAATGAAGAGGTCTGTTACGACACAAATTTACGCTATTACAACCTAAGTAATAGGAAGCATTTAAACACTTATTTTGTACACCGGTTCCGAGGGTGCAGTCATTTGTCAAAGAAAGTCATTTCGATTACGAATGCCATTGTCCAATAAGCACGTTAATACCCTTTTGCTTATACGATTCCTACAGACGCACTGGGATTCATTTGCACACAAATGACCCTCTAAATAACAGTCAAAATTAAGAAAAATAACACCTTTTTAACAAAGGTTTAAACTGCTTTGTGCAGCATGTTTTAAAAGTTTGAAGTTTCTGAGATTAGGTTCTGATGTTGGTGTTATTGGTGCTGTGTGGAGGATGTACTTATGTGACAGTAACGAAGGGAACAAATGATGAAAAGCTGTGATGCTGTGTTTCCTTACTGAATTTACCTTTTTGTCATGATTGTCTGGCCAGGTATGTGGAGATGTGTTATTTTTAAAAACATTAAGCAGAGTAGTCTACTTTTAAGTTCCTTATTATATAACACAAGCTACACCTTAGTCATTTCAAGACCTAATATATATGTTTATATACTTTCCTGAACAGGCCAAATTCCTGTGTAAATAATTACATCTCTATCTTGCAGCCTGATAGAGGAGCAAAGCGTCCAAGAGAGGAGGATGGAGGAGCAGCAGGAGGAGAGGAAGACTCCAGAGGAGGGAAGCAGCAGAAGGGGCTGGGTGCCAGGGAGCTGGCCAGATATCGGGAAGCAGCAGCAGCAGCAGGAGGAGTAGGAACTGAAGGAGGGGTTGAGACCGAGGAGCTGACTTCAGACAAGAAGAAACTGGAGAAACTGATGGACCAGGATGAAGATGAACCTGAGGTGGGGAAAATTATTATAGAATTATTACAGAACTGTTACATGGGTTCTCCCAAATGTCATGTTTATTCAGAAACAATATCTAGAGGCTTTATTTAACAGTGAGTCCATCTCCTTCTCAATTGTAAACAGATTATATTTAGACATGACAGAGCTGCTACTAACAACTATTTTTCTACTGATTAATTGATGAACTTTTTTCAGATTAGTCAATTTATCTAAACAATTCATTTTCTTCCAAAAAGGTGTGAATTCCAACAAGCCAAGAACCAGAGACTGTATAAAATAAGCGTGAACACAGCACACACACATTGATAACGTCAATAAATTTAGTATAAGCCCAGCCTAAACATTTTCTCAAACATTTATTCAGTGGAAATTAGTAGCCAACTTTAAAGTTTTAGAAGGCAAAGAGATATTAAGAAGCTTTATAATTTTTTTTTTTTTTTACTAATAATAATTTAATAAACATAAATAGACAACACTTGTACTGGTTAAGCCTTTTTTGGCTGTACATCATCTAAGACGGCACCTGTGTTTTCTCTTCAGGTGCTTGTGCATAGCGCTAATGCTGTTGTGGTATGCCAAGGAAATTTTTCCCAGTGTACTCACCACCTTTTTGTTTTTTGATAAAATGAGGTACTCCCATACTTGTTCAGCATTGGGTCTTTGGAAACTTTTACACTGAATCACTCAGACTCTGCTGATTCTAGTGCAGCTGCCATGAATTTCTGAACCTGTAGCATTTTCTGAGCCAAGCAGTGATTGGAGACTGATGCAAGCACACAGCAGTTACAGAGCGATATTTGTCTTTTTCTGTGGATTTTACTGGCGGTTGGCAACCAGCTATATCGTTATACTGAAGACATGTTTGTTTTAATGAATGGTTGAAGCATTTAAAAAATCAAAAAGCTCATAAAGGATGTATCGGTTATAAATATTGATGTTGAAGCATTTTTAACGTTGCGACAACCCCAAAGCAGGATACTTTTTGCTATTACTTAAAGACTATGGTTATACTACGTATATGACGTATAGTATACAAGTTGTTACTATATGTTTTATTATGTATTTGTAGTTGTTGCAGTTATTTCAGTTTTGAATGTCTTCATTGTCCACTCTAGACAGGATATAAAAAGAACCATATAGATGTCATTAGTGAACACATTACCATTTAAGTATGGTGTAGGGATATAACAGCTTTAAGGTTGAGTTTTTAGAACTATGGTGACTCAGCGTCCATCATCCACCTCAGCTCTGCTTCTTGAAACATTCAATGTAATGTTGTTACAGCATCCTTAAAGTTGCAGAGGGCCAAATCAAATCATTGTATTTGCAGTTTAGAGACATGAAATGTTCACTTTTAATGTCTATTTTCTCAGGGGATGAATTTACTCCTTTTCCCTTCAAACATCAACAGAGTTTTGCATATAGCTGTGCCCCAGTTGCTGCTGTAGGTGTGTGTATGCTATATATCTAAATGTCCTGTATTTTACAGTTGTGTGTTTATTTGTAGGTTAATATTATAAATGGGGCTGTGTATATTTATATCAGACAAATTTTAAGTGATCAATATTGAAACTTGCGACCAGTATATATTACATGTCAGCTATTCAGTTTGAGTGTGGCCAAAGATTGATGTGATCATGCCCTGAGTTTTAATTCAGGATGAAGTTTCAGCTTGTAGCTATACCTCCGAATTTCATCATGGTGGATTTTTCTTAGGCTTGAGTCTGTCCTCTTTGTTCACTCAATTCAAGTCCAAACCTGTAATACTATTCCCTGAGCACAGTGGAAAAGCACTGGATATAGAAAAAAAATCTGAAAATTGAAAGTTTCTGCATGATTGTTTCTTATAAATAAAGAACTCCTCAGTACCAGTGTTGCCATATAAAGTAGTGCATTAGAAACCTGCCCACTTTTTATTCTGTTCTGAATATTCCACACTGCAGCCTTTTTCAAATAGTCACTGTGTCCAGAGCTGCTCACAGCAAAGTGCTGCACCATTCCATAATGTCGGGCAGTTGTAATTTTCTAACCTGTCATTATATGTCTAACACTTCACATGCTCTTAAGCCATCAAGAGGTCAAACACATTCCCTTTCCAGTGAAATGCACTCAGATTCCTTGTCACTGTAGAAAACCTCTGGCCACTCTCCACCACACACAAAAGCCCCTTTCAGACATGCACTGGAACCCTGAAATTCTCTAGACATTACCTGGGGGAGCTGCATGTGAGACCACAAATGTCTGAGTCAGTTGACCTGAACCTTAATTTACTCTGGCAGCTCCCTAGTACCAAGTCCACAGAAGGTCCGAGTGGCGCTGGAGTGACCCCATGTGAGAATACAGCAGCATGTAGACTGGAGTATTTGCATAGAGCTAGTGGGCGTGTTGATGGCGTTCTATCATGTCACCGGTGCGAAACCAGAAGAATGCAAGCTTTTTTAAAATCTTAATTAACATAGAGGAAAGTATACACAGAACAAGTTAGGGGATACAAACAAGCCAAAGGGTAGAAGTCTATGCTTAACACAACACTGGGCTTAGTATAACAAACCTTAAACAACATTACTACCACAAGCATGAAAGAAAAACAGCATAAGGAGGACCATCCATAAAATAAATTGTCATTATATACTTAAAGGAAGGAATATTGTCAGTTTTTAATGACAACCAGTAATAAATGTCAGACCAAAACAAGGTGGAGTGTGGACATTCAAAGAACAGGTGGCTGATGGTTTCTATTTCAGGAGAGCAAAATATGCAGGAATCAACTTCAAATTTAAATCTTTTGTGAGAAATCGTTAAAAGGGTATATAACAGTAAATATTGCTGATATTATGTTTTTTATGTTTCTTTAACTTTAGGAGCAACAGGACAAGTTGTATAAAAGGAAAAAAGATTTTCTCCTTAAAGGGGCCTCGTGATTGACTTGTATAGAGTGAGAATTAAAATTTCCAAAAGTTTATTCTTTGGAAATTAGGCCAACTATTTTAACTGTCACATTTTTGTTATCTATCAGATTGATATCACCATCTCTTAGAGAGGGTAAAATAGGTTGACACTAAGGAAAAAAAACATACTACTTTGTAACAGATGAAGTAAAGCGGTTGGAATTGCTTGGCTAATTTCTAGGAGTACTAATATTAAACTTGCTGGTGAATTCTTCCAAGGATAAACATGGCCATCTGAGTTCAGTAAGTCAGCGGCAAAATTTATGCCACTGTCACACCAATCAGCTTTTCCTTGGCATTCCACAGCAGCATTAGCACTATGCACGAGCACCTGAAGAGATTTATGGTAATGACCCTGTTATTCCACAATAAGGAACTGTGTGGAGAAAGGTTGTGGGTAAATATCATTTTACTAGATAGTTTAACAGAGATTTTTGATAACTCAATCACATCTAAGCAAGAAATGAAGCCCTCCAACATAATTAAATATTTTGTTAGGAATGAGGTACCATATTGACTGAGGATGAGAAACACATTCTTTTAGCCATTTGCTTTTGCAAAGGTTGCCTCAATTAACACTTTATCCTTTCTCTCTTTCTTTGTTTTTTTTTTTCTTTTAATCCCCCTTGGGCTAATCAAACAGGCAGAGCCAGTGGATGAGAGTTCAGTGAAGAAAATGATCCTGACCTTTGAGAAAAGGTCATACAAAAATCAGGAGCTGAGGATTAAGTTTCCGGATAATCCAGAGAAGTAAGCCCATTAATGAGAGACAGCATTCTAAGGTTTCCTTGGTTGGATTTGTGCATTTATTTAAACTTTTTTTTTTTTAATAACTGACATATTGTATGTAAATTAAGCTAAACTCCCTTTGGATTTACCAAAGCTCTCTACAGTTTTTATCTAGTGGTTAAATACATTTTCTGGTAGATTGTCTCTCTGACCCTCACTGTTATGTACATGAAATGTTGGTTTTTCATTGGTTAAACAAAGACTCAAAATTTGAAGATGTGCTGTCAGTAGAACTGAGTGCAGATTAAAAAAGCAGCAGCACCTCAGTTCATGACAAGATATTGATGGTAACGTCGAATGCTAACCAAAGTTTTTTGCTTTTTAAATCAGGTTCATGGAGTCGGAACTGGATCTGAATGATATTATCCAGGAAATGCATGTGATTGCTACGATGCCAGACCTCTACCATCTGCTGGTGGAGCTCAATGCCATCCACTCACTGCTGGGCCTCCTCAGTCATGAAAACACTGATATCCTTTCACCTATGGACTGACTGGGACAGTCTATTCATTTTGATCTATTCATCCTGTATGCAGAATTTAATGTTGGTCTTTAAAGGATAAGTCTGGTGATATTCAGTTTTTTTTCCTCGACAAATCCAACAAAAGTATTGGATTGTATTAAGATACTACTGAGGACTTTTTAAGAAATTAAACTATATACTTGCAGGCTGTTTTACCAGGTTTATGTTTGTGTATGTGTTGCGGTAATCAGGCAGGATGGCTAAGATTTAACAACAGCTATATTTACATGTGATCAGTAGCATGGCAGTATATAAACAGGAAGCTGAACAATATACCCATGAGCTCAGGCAAGATATGCTACGGCAGCAGTAGTGTCCCTAGTGGCGGCAGGCAGAACAACATGCAACCTAATACCCTACATAGACTACACAACTGTATGTATAAAAGAAATGACTGGGCTTGGGACTGAGAGCCATGGTCAGGGCAGAAAAATCAAAAACTATTGCAAGACATATTAAGACATTGATTTTTGGTCTTTGATTAAATTTGTCGACAATTGCAGCCCTATCGTTTAAAATATAATATAATAATATGCTTGTCAGTTTCAATTAAACTATGTAGTGAATCTGCACATTTTACCAAATGATGCTAAAATTTATTAAGAGCAGCTAAAAGAGGAATCAGTTGAAACTCGGTCAAAATTAAAATAAATGAAGCCTTTACAAAACAAACGTAATCAAGCTATAAGTGGTGAGAATTAAGCTAAAAAATAATTGAATGAATTTTTCTGTGATTATCTTGAACACAATGAGAACACTAAAATGATATGCACTTCTCAACAGCTCATTAAGCTTTTTGTCCTTAGCCTAAATCACATGTCGCCATAGCAGTGGTGGACCTGCTGCAGGAGCTGACTGATATCGACACGCTCCATGAGAGTGAGGAGGGTGCTGAGGTGCTCATCGATGCTCTGGTGAGTTCAGGATTTTACGTCAGTTTTAATGTGATGATACTGATAAAGCAGCACTTTGTGGAGTCGGTACTTAAAGAGCCCATGGTATGCTAATTTCCAGCCATTTGATGTTTAATCTTGGGTACCTCTAGGTTAGCTTTACACCCATCACAACTCCAAATAGTCTGTAATTATTTCAGAACGCTAAAACAGGGAGAGCCTCCTCCTGAAAATGACAGGATAATTCTGTTGCTGGTCAGGAAGCCAGGAAAACACATAAACAAAAAACCTGAGGAAGCCACAGTCTGTCTGGGAGAATGTCCTGTGGACAGATGAGACTAAAATAGAGCTTTTTGGTTGAGCACATACACAACTTTATTGTTCTCAGAAAACGAAATGAGGCTAAATTAAATCCCTGAATTTTGGGAGGTGAGCAGGTCTACGGTTTAATGTGTAATGTCCTTCACATAATTATTGGATCTTTCTGTTCTCTGTAGGTTTTCTTTT